CCCTAACAGGTGCTACCACCCCGGGTCAGGGTGGACCTGGGAACACCAGCAATTAAGAGGTGGTCCCAAGCTCCTCAAAATCTCCTGATTATAGGCCTTGCTGCTGGATGTAGTTTATCGTCTTACCCAGGGCAAACTGATACTATAAATATAAGCATATCCTGAAGATTTTACCAATGTTGGTTGGTTATTACCAAATTTATTACAAAGAATATCAACTTGCACATTAAAATCTGACAGTTGTAAATTGGTCCACTTGTAAAAAAAAATAGGGTAAACTTTTTAAAATAATTTTTGTAGATTAGAATTCATTTAACCCTCCAAGACTTCCAATTGTCAGAATGAAAAAATTTTACCATTTTCATAACATCAATTTTGGGCTTGTACAGGCAGAACATAAGAAAAAATATTTTTTAAAAGTGTAAAATCAATCCCTGACTTTTACAGATTTAACTGGATTTGGCTATTCTGTCTACAAAACAGACTTCTCTTTTCTTTTTGGAAAAAAAAAAAAATTCTTTTAAATAAGGGACAAATGAATATAAACATTTCTAATTAAAGAACAAAAATTATATTTATGTATTGATTTTATAAACATGTTCCCACTACTTCTAAATCGATAAAAAAAATCAATATTTTTTCGATTCTGATAAATGCCACAGCTTAAGGAAGCTCTAATAAATGCAAATCGACAATTAATTCCTACCCAAATTGTCACTATTCTTTATGAGTGGATTTGTCTATTCTGTATGTCAAGGATTGATTTGATGATATCAATATTATGCATCCCTACTTCTAAAATTTAAAAAAAAAACAAAAAAACATATCAATATTTTTTTATTGATTCTGATAAATGTCACAGTCTAAGGAAGGTTGAAAGGGATGCTAATCTACAAAAATTATTTCCAAAAATAATTTTCCTTATTTTTGACAAGTGGACCCATTTATTTATGTAGTACCATCATGTGTTTATCAGATACACAAAGTACAATGTTCTAAATGTAGAGAAATAAAAATACCATAATTTGGTATAATGACAGATTTGTAGACAATGTAGACAGCAAGATCTATGCACACTATATAAAAAAATAAAAATCTGATGTGCATTGACATTATACCAATGTTTGTGTATGTGTGTGCATATAAGACTAGTTTGAAAGAAGAAATGAATGCAAACATATGCATATAATTTTGATAGGTAAACTAAAGTGTGTGTATGTAATATGCACATCTGTACATAAAAAATGTGCATCTTATGCAGCCCACTAAAAGGTTTAAAAGTAAAATAAAAATCGTACTTGATCAATATTTGATGATCACAAAAATGAATTTAATTTTGCTAATGTTTGCATGTTTATTTAAAAAAACAAGATCAGCACTCATTTGGAAATTGATAAGCAAGATCTACAGAATTAACTGTAATATATAATCATCACAGTGCACATGTCTATTGCACTTTGCATGCCTGTGTACATGTCTATTGCACTTTGCATGCCTGTGTACATGTATAAATAATACAAAAGATAACCAAAAAGGAAAAAAAAACAAAAAACATTGCTTTGAATTAAAAAAAAAGAAAAGCTAACAGCATTCAAGAAATTCCAATGAGGAATTATTTACTCACTTCTTTAGCAATCATCTCAAATCAGAAATATTCTAGAACATTCCAGGAGAAGAAGGACAAAGACCATAAAACCTGTCTTTGTTGCATTCCCCAGGAATTTGACAGTCACATTTTGGGCTTAATATGAGTGGCAAGAGCAGAAAGGGGTTAAAATGCATTAGAATTTCAGAAATAATATCCAGACATTCTCACTGCTTAAGTGATAGTTTGGAGAGAGACAGAACTAGAGAAGTTGTTGGTGGCCAATCAACAAAGAAACAGTTCATTAAAAGAATGCAGAATCTTCATTTTGTGGTGGTAGTGGTTGCTTTTAGGTTGCGTCCAGCTCTCTGCTTCCTCCACAGAACCATTTTCCTCCCCTAACTGATTCTTCCCTCACACAAAAAAAAAGAAAAAAAAAAGGCAATTTGATGAATTCTTGGGCTTTCATTTTTTTTTTTTTTTTTTTAAATGTGAGATTTTAACCCCCTCCCTGCTAGTTCATTGTCAATTACTGTTGTGTAATGGGTTGTGTGTTCATCAACATCCTTTGACATGTTCCTATCACATTTTGCTGTCAATGCACAGCTAAAGATAAATTTCCTCATTAAGGACACGTCCTTTTTCTTGTTCCCCAACGTATAACACTTTCAAATGAGTTAAAATAATGCAGGTCACGTGCCACAATAAATCAGAAAGAAAAAATAGAAAGAAAAAAACACAATGTGAATTATTGTGCTAAAGTTTACAATTAAATTTTTAAAAGTGGACATTTTTGGTTGGAATTTGATCATGTGATCTAAGAAGAGACTTAAAGCAACAGAAATGTTGATTGATTGAATGGTTATTTTACTGGCATATGGGTCATTAATGCCAAAACAGTATTCATATCTTGAGGGTATTTTTGTTTATATATTTGTGTTGTCTGGTAGGTTGTATTTTTATGGTTCTTGGTAGGTTATTGCTTTGGGTACAATAAAAATGTGGTACTGCAGAAGGATACTGAGAATATCATGAACTGAACATGTGAGCACCAACAAGTTTTAGAGAAAATACAAACAAAAAGGACACTTATACTTAGAATCAGAAAGAGATGGTTCTAGAGCACATAATTAGGAAAGAAGGCTTGGAAAATTCGATACTTGCAGGACAGATTGAAGGCAAGATGAACAGAGGAAAACAACACATAACCTACCTAGCGAGCTTGAGTAAATGGATGGTGGAACAAGTTTTAGGAGAGATAACAAAAAGACAAAATTTATTAAGAGCTACAAAGGAGAGGAAATTGTGGAGAGCAATGATCAACAACAACCTGAAGAGACACGGCACATAGAAGAAGATCTAACATTGATGCTGAAGCAGTAATAAGTTTGTGATTGTAAGAGGAATTAATATACAAAAACAAAAATCAACTTTATTTTAATTGAAAAATTTCTAGTTTATATTATTAAGCCTGGTGTGCTATGACTGTTCAACCAGAGAGAACTTCAGGTTAAGCAAAGCTCGAATTACTGCTTTTAAACACAAAATCACCGATCTTTCTCAGTCTATCATATCTGCTCTGAATTCGTAACTTAACATAAACAATGACAACATATAATAGAACATGGATTAAATCTCTCAAAAATATTCAATATATTTGCTGTTTATAATTTATTTTTTATGGATACACTTATTTGAATAAATACTCTGTTCTTTGGCAAAGGTGTGTATTTAAAAACAGTAATTCAAGCTTTGCTTAGCTGGAAGTTTTCTGTGGCTGAATGGTTATAGCCATATGAGGCTTAATGGTGGTTCTGTATAGGATACAGTTTCATTTCCTGCCAGAGAAAACATTTTCTACAAAGTTTATATTATATAAATGAGAATTTCTTTCAATTAAAAATCAAAACTTCTTAACAGAAGAAATAGTTGGAGAGATAGTTAATTAAAAGAGAAAGTAAATTATTAAGGTGAAAGTGTATAGAAAGTGCTTTAATTTCTGACTCTTCCACAGTAAATTTACATATTTTACATCCCAGATTATACAAAATATTTGATTTCCTAACAAAACTAGTGCTTTTTTACAGTGTGGTAGATTTAAAAACAAAAGCAATAAAAACAAAACTAACAGAGAGCTGAAGGTCAGCTAAGTTATGCATCTTGATAGATTGGATGCCAAAAATTTAAATTTGTATCTTCCATGTTTTTCAGTGTAGAATATTAACCAGCATTTGTTGCATTTCATTCCCCCTCTTTACAGATATATGATTTCATCAATAAAAACATTATTAGTCTGAAGTGGTCATTTTCAAAGATGGAAACATATAACATAGGATGTTTTTCTGTTTTGTCATTCAATTACCCATTATGTAATACTGAATGAGGAAAGAGGGCGTGGAGAATTTAACACCCAGAAAACACAGTGAAGGCAAGAGGGACAAAAAGGAAAACAGTAAGTAGCCTAGCAAACAAGATTGTGTAAATGGATGGCAGAACAAGGATTGGGAGGGATGGTGTAAAAACAAACCTTACTAAGCATTACAAAGGATAGGAAGTTGTGAAGAGCTATGACTGCCACCATCCTAAAGGGACATGACACACAGAAGAAAAATATTGTTTACAAATGTATTTTTTAAACCAAGTACAATAAAAATGTCCAACGATTAATTTGTTTTTTACTGCTTATCAATCCTTTATAGGTTAATTAAAATTGAAGCTTATCAACCCTTTATAGGTTAATTAAAATTGAAGCTTATCAACCCTTTATAGGTTAATTAAAATTGAAGCTTATCAACCCTTTATAGGTTAATTAAAATTGAAGCTTATCAACCCTTTATAGGTTAATTAAAATTGAAGCCTACCAACCCTTTATAGGTTAATTAAAATTGAAGCTTATCAACCCTTTATAGGTTAATTAAAATTGAAGCTTATCAACCCTTTATAGGTTAATTAAAATTGAAGCTTATCAACCCTTTATAGGTTAATTAAAATTGAAGCCTATCAACACTTTATAGGTTAATTAAAATTGAAGCCTATCAACCCTTTATAGGTTAATTAAAATTGAAGCTTATCAACCCTTTATAGGTTAATTAAAATTGAAGCTTATCAACCCTTTATAGGTTAATTAAAATTGAAGCTTATCAACCCTTTATAGGTTAATTAAAATTGAAGCCTATCAACCCTTTATAGGTTAATTAAAATTGAAGCTTATCAACCCTTTGTAGGTTAATTAAAATTGAAGCATATTTTGGATTGTAGGAATATTTTTTTTTGGCAAATGAATATTGCCTTAACAATTTTCTAAAAAATAATTGATTTTTCAAGGTACAAATCCTATTTAACACATAGCTAGGGGAAGAGATGGATTCATACCTTTCCCAATGGTATTTGTGTGTAAGTGAATATAATGAGATTATGACCATCTCACATTGAAACACTGGTTCTTGTCTGATCACCGAAGTTAAGCAACGATGAGACTGGTTCGTACCTAGATAGGTGACTGCTTGGGAATACCAGATGCTTTAAGCTTGCATGTGCAATGTGTGGGTGGTTTAATGGATAACAACTCAGAATGAGAAATCAAAGAGACAAGTGAATTTCAATTGGGTATGTTACATTCACTTATGCATTTGAGAAAATAAAAGAAACAAGTGTGTCAAAATTGCCTGCTCCAACATGCATGGGGCCGGTGTGGTAGGGTGATTGCTGATTCCTCATCATGAATCTGGGGAAAGCCTACATCCAACAAAGAACCTTCACAGGAATGTTAAAAAAATAAAAAATTGTAATACACTTGAGTGTAAACTCAAGCTGTCCAATTCAGAATCACTGTCCCTTTATACCATCCACACATCCTAATGTCAAAGAAAACTTTTAAAATCATCAAAGTCAAAATAATGATTATTTTTGGTCAAGATCCTCAGCATTAAGATTAAAGGCTATTACTGTACAAGACTAATAACAATACATTTATATGACCAATAATAGCACTTGATCTCGGTCCTTACATGATAGGATTGTGGATCCTGAAAGATTACATCAGATTTGACTAGCCAACTTTCAAAAATAGTCTACATCATTGATATTTGCTATTAAAGACAGAATTACATAGTCAAAAGATTAATCTTCAAAGTAAGTATGTCTTAACAATGCCAAGAGAATATTTACTGCATTTTAAGTCTTCTATTGAGAAGGAATTGCTAAACTGACAGAAAAGCGAAGCTCTTGTAGAAGAGAAAGAGCCTGAAATCAATTCTGTATCACTGCCATGTGAATAAATGCTACTGTAAATGTTAAGTTTGTTAATCTTTAATTATGGTTAACTTTGGAGTATATAACAATCAACAACAGACAAAGAAAAAAAAAAAACAATATATATTTAAAGATAAAGAAAATAAATAGTGAGTTGATAGATGCTACTGGAAGAGCCTCATGATAAACAAGCAGCACAAAAAAGGCAAGTCATTACAAGTGATGAAATGATCAATTTCACTTTCCTGCTAAGTTCAGTTGAAAATAACACTATTAAAAGCTTAGAACAAAGCTGCCGTTCACTGATTGGTTAATAAGTCCAGTTGGTGAGAAAGAAAAGTCTTTTTATAAAAACCTATTTCATAATAATATCTGTGTTTGTACTATGGAGCTATTCAAGTGAGAAACAAAACAACCATTCTGTTTATAATGAGATTTTTATGTTTTTTTCTCAGCAAAAGGGGAAAAAAAAAAGAAACTTTATGCTTGTTGGTAAAGACTTAAGACTATCAATAATTAATTAACAAATATTGTGGTACATGTTGCAACAAGAGGGAATCAGCATGCCAAGTTCAAATTCTGTGCAAGTTCACTGTGTTCATTTTCATACAAATACTTCTGGGAAAGATATGGATCCCCCCCCCCAGCCATGTGTTAAATAGCCGAGCAGACAAAGATCTATAGACTAAGAGTATAGGAAGAGGACAACTCTGAATTCAAAACTGGTTGGCTATAAGACAAGCAACTTTACCCAATAAAACCTATTTGCTAAGGGGTAACACCTTGTGACGCTATGACCCTCTACCCCGCAGGGAAATATAAAAATATTACAAGAATGAAGTAAGAAAGATTTTCTCGCTCGCTTGTCTCTGTTGAAAGAGGGGACCAAGAAAAAGATAGGGGCGCCATATTGACAAATCCTTGAAGACTCTTTTAGATAAGTTCATATAGAAGTGGGTGAATGAAAATTCCAGTCATGTTTTATCTTGAGAAAGCTACTGAAAAATTTTATGTGGGAAAATTTTCAATTGTCAATCAATTTTAAGAAAAACAAAACTGACATTTTAAAAACGCCATAGAAAATTCAACTCAATAGTAATTATGTTTGTGGTGATGAGATAGAAGTTGATTGAAAAGAATTGAATACAAACAGAATGTAATTATGATAAAGTATAGAAAAAAAAAACTTTCAATACTGCATTTGACAGTTTGTCTAATGAATTAAATATGCACTGTGACAATCAGATAATTTAAAAGTTGCAGAATCAATCTTTTATTGAATTTTTATTCATTCTTCCTCACCAGGAATTGGTTAGCAACAGATCCTTCATGGTAATTGTTGTGATGTGGGGTCTGGCAATGCACAACACTTAACTCAACAAAGTAACTTGTGATAGAAGTGTTCAATAATCAGCTAAATAAGTCAGTGCAATAGTAACATTTTCTTTTTCCCAACTAGCAAAGACTATTTATCATGAATGGATCAGTCCTTTCATGATAGTAAAGAGAGTAACTGACTCTTATCACAACAGTAAGAAGATCAGCTGTATCCTTATAAGGGAGTGAAGGTATTTTCTTCTTATTGGTTGGGTATATCTACCAATGAAGAGGGATGGAAAACTCAGTAGCACCAGAATCAAACACTGGGTTATGACGAGAGGTGGGCACAGACAAGACTTCTACATGGGAACACTACATGTACAGGAAACACAGCCTAGACATCAAAACCAAAAAACAAGGACAAACGAATTTGAAATGACACTGGATAACACAAACAAAATCCTTGGTAATGCACAGCAATCTCATTGTGTGATGAACACAGTGTACTGCCAAGCTCCCCCTGCTTTTATGGAACTAAAACTTTAAGAGTTGACTAGCAAAAAAATAATTTTCATAACTAACACTGATCAGCTCACCATTTCGAATATCTCATGGAAAAGCTGGTAAACACTTTCTTTTTTCATTAGCAGATGTTCCGGGGTTTGCACTGGCTCTGTTCTATCAGGGCAACAATGTACTGTCTTTCTGCAAAGACAGCTGACAAAACACTTTGAACAACGGGTGTAGGTCCCATTATCAGTAATGATTGGCTGCTCCCTCTGAATTTCATTTCCAGTACAGAAAACATTCAGCATTTATTGACCAGTTTGCATTACTGTCAGTTAAAATTTATAAAATCTTTCTCTTAAAGGTTTTTCAGGAAAATAGCTTTCTCAAGTTAACTGTTATTGCTCATTCTAGTACTAAATGGAGTTTCCTTCTTAACCTTTTGTTTAAGGTAGTGTGGAAAGACAACATCTTTGATTATGTCATTATGTTCTCTTTGTTACTTGTGGCATCCTTTCTCAATGTTTCTACACTTGGAAATTTTCAAGCAATGTGATTTCTGCTATCTGATACAGTTCAGTTCCTGATTCTGTAGCACCAGTCTATGAGATCTACTGAAGGATTGGCTTCATATCTACAGCATTCATTCACTTGAGACAATTCTTTATCATTTATCTGAGAAAACAGTTATATATATCTGATAATTTAAATATTTCTGAATGAGTTGGACACCATACATAATATGAAAAACCAGATCTGACAAGGTTATTTAATTTATTTGTCAATCAATCTGGGAAACATTATTATGGCAATGGAATTTCTATGATAATAATAATAATGGTGATATCAGGTGTTCATGTATAAAGAAACATTTGGCAATGACCAAACAGTATTATTGTGGGTTGAAATTCATAAAATTTTTCTCTTAGAGCAGTTTCATAAACTACAGCCCAATTAATGTAGAATAATGACCATTTTTGAATTTCAAAATCAATCTCATATCTTTCTATATATTAATTTTCAATGTGTTTAAGGATTTACCTAATCTTTTAATTCACATCAAACACTTTACCCAATCTATTAATAATGATTTGCTTAAAAAAAGCCCCCAAAAGGTGGTATGGGTGGAGCAATAGATATTGGCAAAGTTCGAATTCCAATGGAGATTTCTACATTCACTTATAATAGCCTTTTGAATGTTATAAATCTATCCCCTCCTCCCAGTTACAGGTTAAACAATAAAATGCATATCTGGGAAGGTCATTGTTCAAAAATTAAAAAAAAAAAAAAAATGCAATATTAACATAAAATTATTCTTAAGATCCAAAATATGTTTTGGATTAAAATAACAAAGGGGTGATAAACTGAAAAAAAACAAAAAGAAACAATTAATCAACTTAAAAAAATATTCATTCTATGACATTGTGAGTATTAACATCCTGGTTATTTTATTTAGAGAAGAAATGGGTTGGAAACAAAGGGAGATAATCAAAAATTAATAAAAATCTTCAACAATCCAAAACAATATACAGTCAAATGAAAAGAGAAATCAATGAACCCTTAAACAATTCCCTATACCAATTCTACACTCCAAGAATTCAGGTTATTAATTAAATTATAAATTATTATGGTTGTTAAATATTGCATATAAGTGCAATATCTAATAACCAAAATAATTTTTGTGAACAAACTAATTGTACAACAGATAGAAGTTTTAAATGACATTATTAGCAGTGATTAAGGTGGTGAGGGATCAATATATTCAAATTTCTTTAAAGGTACAAATGACTTTCATGTCCTAATGCAATTATCACAGCATCTCAGTCAGATCCCCATTTTCATGTCAACACCACCTGCGATAAGGTGAAATTTGGCAATTTATAATATGCCTAAAAACATGATTGCAAGTCCCGTAATCCATTACAGTCATAGGGGCATCTTACGTACTGCAGCAGGAGTAGAAGTGCTGTGTCTTGGACAAGATAGCCTGACAGAACCCACTCCTCTCCAGGCTGGTTTAAATTCAGAGTTTTTCTTCTCATAGACTGGCCGCCAACCAAAGCTATAGAACCCAATCAGTCCTGCTATTTACCCATAAATTGGATTCATATGTAAGGGTATTAGTGCGTAAGTGAATCTAATGAATTCAAAGTCATTTTCTCAAATTCCTCAATCCAAGCCGCTAAATATTACTCCACCATACCTAAATAAAATCTGCTGATGTTGTAACTGGGAACTAAGGCAACAGAAGCACCATTTCAGTTATTGTTCAGACACGGAAGTACCATGTCATCCATATTGTTTATATGTGAATAAAAGAACTGTGTTGTCATTGATACGACAGACCCCCTTACCAAGTTGTAACAGCTATAAAAAGCAATAGTAGCATAGTCCATTACATGGATCCTTGTACAACTTTTCTTCAATAAGTTGTTTTTGATTTGGTTAATTTTGTTTAGTAGCATATGGGTTATTTACTGCCAAAATGTAAATATTTTTTATGTAATATTTTTGTTGGGAGACAATAATGCTTTTAGTGATACAATTCTTACTAATTAACCCATAGCTTGGAGAGAAGAGATGGATTCCTACCATTCTGAAGGATATTTGTGTGTAAGTGAATATAACGAACCCAATGGGAATTTGAACTCATCTCTCCAATTAACAATTCCAAGCCATTATCCATTACAAAACTCACACATCCAAGCTTACAGCACCTGGTGTTCCTAACCCATCTAGGTACTAACCAGGCTCAATATTGCTTAACTTAAGTGAATGTATGGGAAGTGGTGTTTCAATGTGATGTGGCTGTAAGCCATAGTTGTTTTTGATGAAGCACATTCATTGAAACTTAATAGAGACCTTGCTTAAGGTATCTTTAATACAGTGTCAAGGCCAATGGGCCATCTCTTATGTTGTTAAGAATATGCCCACTGATATTAAATCCTGGTAAGTCTACTTTTAAGATCATATCACTATACAAGTTAAATAAATATGGTAAAAGCAAAAAACATCTTGCTTTACTCTTCTATTTTTGTGTATTCATTGAATTCATTCTCTATTTGCATTTATTCCTAGTGAAGGTTACAGATTGCTCTAATATCTTTCCCATAAAAATTAAGCTTTCCTGACATTTCAAGTAGGTCTTTGTGTCATACTTTCACCCAACCTATATATAACATACAGGGTGTGATGAGTAAATTCTCACCCTTTTATATTTTTAATTTTGCACATGTGTATTTTTTTGTTTTTGATTTTGTCAACTGCACAGTATAGTAGGGTAAGTTGGGGACTGTCTTTGAAAAAAAGAGCACCATGACACAATTTACTCCACCAAAAATTTGGAAACAACATACTGTACTGTTTAGCATTTGCGCTGGAAGCTTCAATACAATCATTTCAGAGTGTGTGGGTGTCAATCTGAGGACAGTGCTGAGGATTCAAAAAGAATTTGCTGATATATCTAGTCAGCATCACTGTTACATCTGACCACCTAACTCCCCAGGCTGTAAAACCCGTGATTATTATGTGTGGGGTGCAGTTGAACACGAGACCAACAAAACTCCTTGTAACACCAAAAATGAACTGAACGCAAGAATCATGGCAGCATTCCCCAACTTAAACAAGGAGACCGTCCAGAAGAGTTGCAGGAAATTTTGGAGTCGTCTGGAGGATATAATTGAAGCCAATGGTGATTTTATTGAATAAATTTACTCTTTAGTATTTTAAGATATTTTTTTGTAATTTTGGTAAATATTTCTGTTAAAATAAAATGTCAGTGTCATTTTTGTGTAATTTAGACGATAATTTATCCATCGCACCCTGTATATAAGTAAATACAAGGAAAACTTTTTTATGCCAACAAGTTTCATTCCTTCATCAAAGCAAATTCTTCAAGGAACAAAAGGTGTTGGCATAAAATGTTTTCCTCTTGTCTCTTATCTATGGTCATTACAGATATATTTTTAAATATATATTTATATCAGAATTTTTACACACAACACATCTATATGAATTTTGGCTTATCACAATGAATGGGTGTTCTCTCAGAGAAGCCCTGTATCTTGAGCACATATTAGAGCATGCTCAACCCAAACCTCAGCTGAAATTCATACATATAATTCATTGTTAAAGATACTAGAAAAATGGCTGGTTCCTTGTACTGTTCTACTAAGTACCTGACCCCCCACCCCTGCTATCCTCTACTTTTACAAGAGCCAGATTAGGCTGAAAATGGAGTACTGCTACCATATATGGGCAGGAACTCTTCAGTCTTCACTTTCCATTTTTGACAGAGTCCAAAAGTGACTTGTGGGTGATGAACTATTTTCCATTCTACAACCCCTTTTCCACAGGTGAAACATTGTAAGCCTCTTGCTGCACTGTTGTTATTTCCAAAGAAAGTGTTCAGAGAAACTACATTCCTTAGTTCCACCAGTTCTAACCTTCATGACTAATACCTACCATGCCATGCATAGTGTAGCGTGCCAACTTCATTCCCTTCATATTCCATTGGTGAGATGTAAGTTCCACTCAACAAACAGCTGCTGTGTGGAACCAACTCCCAAGAAGATGCTTTCCCAATCACAACACCTTTAACTTGTTCAAGTCTAGGGTCAACTGTTAATTTAGCCACAGATCCCCATACCTCAAGAGGCTCTTGGGCCTTGTACAGGGTGAACATTATTGCATATAACAAAAAAGAGAGAGGTGAGAGAAAGTGCATTTGTCCAATACTTACACATTCTGTTCATCAAGTTCATTACCAATTTGGTGACTCATGTTTTTGAGAACCCCAACACTGGCTCCGATCATATCCAATTGATCATCTTGATTACTGATCAGCATCTGAAAATTAAAGAATCCTGAATGAGAAACAATCACTCAACGTATATGTGCACAAATGGAGCAAAGACATCAACAATTATTCCAAGTAATTACTGATTCACTTTAGTCAAGATATCTGGTAGTTGTACAGGGAAAAGTGGTTTCAAGCCCTGAAAAGACATTTTGGCAAGACATCCAAGAATTATATAAAGTGCAGGGAGATGTGGATTCATGACTTTTTCAAAAGTATGCTCATGAAAAGAAAATTTATTAAGACATCTGGGAATTGTATAAAATACAGGAAGAATCAAATTCATGCTTTTTTCAAAGGAATGCCTATAAAAATAATTTTTTTAAAGATATCTGCTCATATTATAAAGTGCAAAGAGAAGTCATGCCTTTTTCCAAGGGAATGCTTATGAAAATAAAATTAAACAATACATTTGGTCATATTATGACCTGCAGGGAGATGCAGATTCATGCCTTTTCCAAAAGTATACCCATGAAAGGAAAATTTTACCAAGACATATGGTAGTTATATAAAAAACAGGGTGAAGCAGATTCATGCCTTCTGAAAAAGGTATGTTCAAGAAGATAAATTTGGTTAAGATAGCTGGTAATAGTATAAAGTACAGGGACAAGTGGATTCATGCCTTTTCAATGGACATGAATACAATATAAACATAAGCCGTCTCAGATAAAATTTAACTGGATTTTGTTTTCCTCACTTCCCAACTTCAATGCACACCTTTCAAGGAACATTTTGATTATAGCACTTTTTATTGAACAACCAGAAATGAAATGCTACCTTCTAGACAAAATTTTAAAAATTCAGAATAAATCCATATCCTTTTAGGAAAATAGAATTTGCTTTCGTTATTCCAGAACAAATGCATTATATGTGCAGCTGTTTATGCCAACTGACCATAAACGCAGCAGATGTAAGACAAAACAGTTTCTTTTTTTAATAAAGCAATTACACAATGAGAGACGCAACAAGGTAAACTTTCAAACAAAACACAAGGTGTAATAAACAATTCAATGAAATAAAGTATTTTTTTTAAATTTTCATTTTCATTATGGTTGAGAATTAATGAATATAAAAAAAGAAAAACCCATGATTTTTTTTTAATTCTATTTTTAAAAATTAACTCTCATATTGAATAGGCTTCTGGTAAAATATTCCAACTAATTTTAATAGTGGCTTTGGACTTGTCAGAGTTGTTTAGCCTGGGTAACACACACACACACATATATATATATATATATATATATATATATATATATATATATATATATATATATATATATATATATTTAAGTTAAGAACTTGGTAATCCGTATGGGTAATCCTAAGGAGGATGAAATCCTGAGAGCTCAATGTAAATCCAGAGCTAATATTTTAAAGAAAAACAGACCACTTTAAGGTATTATTATAATAATTTATATATATATATATATATATATATATGTATGTAGATATATGTCAAAGAAGTTTGATTAAATTCAACTGATAATGTTTGCCTGCTTAATTTTTTATTGCATTTTTCTAATTTTCAAATCAGATGTATATAAGGATCAAAATTGCAGATAAATTGTCTAAAATTCATGTTTGTTCTGTTTTGTTCAGGCACTTTCATTTTACAAATTGCATATCTTCTTCACTGAGTAAAAGAGAAAATAGAGCTTTGCTTAACTGTGATGTTCTTCGTAAAGCACGTTGGATGAAATAGTGGTTTTCTCTATAAAAGATATGCAAGTTCAATCCCTGCTGGAGAACACATTTTCTTTATTAATATTTCTCAAATGTATTGGCCAATAGATGTAATACACACCATTTAAAATAAAAATGGGGGTATCTATTTCAAATACAAGTGTCCACTATAATAACATTTGAAGTAATAATAATAATAATAATAATAATAATTATATATATATATATGTGTGTGTGTGTGTGTGTGTGTAAAATTGTGATAATACTCTTTATTGTAGTATGATATTTTCCTGATTTAGCACCTGTAGACGTTTAATCTATGGTGGACTCTAAAGGATGTAGATTATCACAGAAAACAGACTACATAGGTAGTCCTTAGACAAGAAATTGAAAATGCATGTGCAGCAATCCCACTGTCCAATGTTGCCCAAACAGTAGTTCTGTGTACTAATAAATGTATGGAAGCTAAAGAGCACCACTTTGACCTTGACTTGTGATTTCTGGCTTGAAAGGTAACTTGTTTTAATCTCATGATGTTTGAATAAATTTAGTATTATAATATCTATACAAATTTTTCCTTTCTTGAAGTGTGTATACATTTTGCTGTGAACTCTTTTTTTTCTCTCTCTCTCATATATATATATATATATATATATATACACACACACACACACACACACAGATACAATGTTATCACTAGCTGAAACCTAATAAACAACAAAGATAGGGATACTGGTCTAACTAAATTACTGATAATGCACTCAAAAATCTAAGTTTTTTTTTTTTCTTTCTCTCCACACTTCCTTTTTCACTGGACAGATTGCAGTGATTTAGGCCAACTGCTTGTAAATCTCTGGTTCAATACTTGTGTGTGTGTGTATATATATATATATATATATATATATATATATATAGGCATGACAGCAACAAAACAAAGACCCAACCCTGACACATGCAGAAAAGATAATCAATGAATGTAGACTACAGTGACCATAGTGACTGGACTTGTTGCTCTGCAACAATCAAGGTTGGAGAGCTGAGGATTCTTAAAAAAATAAAAATAAAAAAATGTTGACATACTCAAATACAGAAAGAGAGAGTAAGTACATAGATATAATTATACTGTGTATTTTTATGCTACAGGAAGGTAAAGTTATTTACAGAGCAAAAAGGCTGTTTTAACCCAATCTGCTGAGTAAGGAGTGTCTGTTTTATTCTGAATTCTTAACTTTCACAAGAACTTAAATAATGATAAAGAGCACTGAAGGTAAAATTTATATCATCAGAGCCAACAACCAGATATTTAAATGCAGTGACGTATCCAAATACAGTTTGTTAAACAAACAAATTGAATAATGAATTGTTTTTCTGAAGAAAATTAAATTTACCTAACAAGCTGGAATTAAAAAAAAAAAAAATTGTGAGTAGTCTACATGTGTGTCTAAGTAGGTAGGAGGAAAACCTCAACACAAACCCAGTCTCCATACTGTACTCTTTTCGTGTTGCAAACTATGAATTTCTGTTTACAGGTTTTTTGTGTTTTATATTGAAAATAATATTTTTCATATTTTTTTTACTGAAAGCATGAACATAAATTGACATATTGATTCCAATCTTTATGGGGAATGATTGCAAAACACTTGCCCCCCTCACCAATTTATAAGCATAAGAAAACAAATACATGCTTGGATTTTTTTTTCTTAGCTAATAAAATAGGTAGGTTCTCAGTTTCATCTGACTCAGTCCCAGTTAGTCTTGTCTTGGTCAGAATGCTACGTTCACTTGTCCAAACTTGCCGTTATGTGTCAGCCTCAATTCTTAGTTTGTGAACTTTTTGCCTTATTACTGTTAATTTGCCTTGCATACATTGTTTGCTTGCTTTATATTATTTTTTGCCCAGTTCTTTTCTTTTTCTTGTCATTGCTTATTGCAAGCTTTGTCAAATCTGTTTTTTGGACAGTTCTGTTATTCATTTCTTTTACATTTAACCAGGGCTGCTCAACTCCACACAAAAAGAAGTAAGAAAATCAATTTACCATAGAAATTAAAAAAGAACTAATTTCTAAACATGAAAGTGGAACAAGTGTTAGCAAATTTAATGAAGATTATGAAATGGTCAAACAACAATCTGCAAAAATTAACATGAAGAAAAGTGTTCAGGTGACTAAGTGAATAACCAAATAGTAAATCACATAGCAATTTTATTGAAGAGAAGGCATATTTACTTTTTCTAATTGAATGTATAATTTATGCAAATGTTGAACAGTTGTTTGATGACCATACATAGAGCTAATTGCTTATATTGAAACACCGGTTCTTGTATGATCACCAAAGTTAAGCAATATCAAGCCTGGTCAGTACCCAGATGGATGCCCACTTAGGAATGCCAGGTGCTCTAAGCTTAGATGTACAGGTGGTGTAGTGGATAATGGCTCAAAATTGAAAATTGGAGAGCAGAGTTCCAATTCCAGTTATGTTATTTTATATTCACTTGCACGCATCTGCTCTTGGGAAAGGCATGAACCCACCTCATCTATGGGTTAATTAGTAAGACTTGTATCAATAAGTCATTATCTCCCCAAACTTTTTACAATCTAAAAATATTTTCTGGCTTTAAATAACCTGCAAAAAGATGATAAGCTGCAAAAAATAAATCAATTAATCTTACAGCTAATGTTCCCAGTGGAAATGATATAACAGTGCTGCATTTTTTGTATTAATTTATTTCAATACTTAATTATTTGTTGTTTGTTTATGTATATATTTATGTCTTTGCTATTTCATTTTTATATTTTCCTTTTTTATAATTTTTTATGTGGTGTAAAAACAGGGTGTGGTTTGGACCAGATTATCTGTTTATATGTATTTTAATTACTGATATATATATATATATATATATATATATATATATATATGCACACATATTGAGGTCTCTATATGAGAACATAATCTGCTCCTGGAACCTGGTTAATTAACCAAATTTATATATATATGAGAGAGAGAGAGAAAAACAAATAAAGAATGCTAAACCATGGCAACTTACCTGTTGTTGCTGATCATTGTCATCAATAAACCTCTGGTTACTTCGCTCCATCTCTGTGTCAAGCCTTGAGTAGCGGGTGTCCATTCTGCTGTTACTAGGACCATTAGATGTTAATAATGCCTGTTAATATACAATTTATTAACAATCAATGGAAGTGACATGTGGGACACTGCGCAAAAAAAAAAAAAAAAAATGGGATTTAATAGTTTTCTTTTTTTAAGCAGTTACACAGGAGCAGAAATGTTTGCACAAAAAGCAAACTCAAATCCTGATATTTCAAAGAACAGAAATTAAATAAAATCAATTTATAGGAAAAGAAACAATTCTCACTTTTCTTTTCTTTTTTCCTTATAGATTTGTTGCCAATCCAAAGGACCTGTTCATTTTAAATCTTGCTGAGGCTATATCACTTTTTTCGACATATAAGTTACACATTTTTTTACCCTAAAATTTGACATCAAAATCTTTTTGCATCCAACACAACAAAAGTATGAATTAAATGTAAACAGGAAAAAACTGAAGAAAAAGCAAATAAGCCAAACACACAACTGGCTTTATATTGGGCAGTTTAACTCGATGCTTGAGAGTGACCTGTTAAGATTTTATTGAGAGAGGAATCAAATAATTGGATTGAGCAAGAAGATTTTGCTATAACTTCTACTGAATGAAGAAAAAGACTGACACTTGCTCATATATACATATTGGTGAAGGTTTTGGTGAAAATGTTAGTAGTAGTAGTAGTAGTATAGTGATTAAGTCATTAAAGAAATGTGGTATTGGTAACCGATAGTGACTGAGGCTGAGCATGGAATTCTCTTTGATCATAATATCGTAATTCAATGATGAAATGTCTGATTTTCTTGTAAAAGCAATAAGAATTTTGTAGGTTTTAAACCAAACTAAATAACAAAGTGTTTTTTTTTTTTTACTTATTTAGGGTATTTTCTTATTTCAATGTTTTGAGCTCTTTTCTGTTTAGAATAATATATAGGAATTTTTAAAATATCATATTGAGTTTTTGTACAATAAAAATCTTTTTAAAGCCCCAAAACTGTCGTCAAAATAAACATGCTTCCTATATAACAGTGCATCTTATATTCCCCAAAAATATGGTAAATTCCATACACAATGGCAATACAAATCATAGCATTTCTGAAAAATATTCTTTCTTATATTTAAAATTCTCTGAGCTAATTTGAAATTCTGTTACAATTGTTCTAGTACAACACAGTGGTAAAAAAAGAAGACTGAAGGAAAAAGACCAGAAGTTTTATTATTTTAGTGGCGTTCATTAAATAATTACCTTAGAGGAAAACAAAGAGACAAAGAGGAGATAACTTCATGTCTCTTTCGTTCTTTCAATAACTAGCAGGATAAAAAAAAGATTTAAGGAACACTAAACTTATATGAAGCTGCAAACACTTGTTTTAATTCTGTCTGTATTCATTCTTGCTTTCATCAAAGAAGCTGACTGCTCTTGACAATCTTAGCATTTAAACATCTTTTTTGCTTTCAAAATTTACAAATATTTACAAGCAGTAAATAGATTTTCTGAAACAGTTCAGATGAAAAGATTAATAGGAAATTGGAACTTGAAATAGAGATTATGTTGAGACTGATTCACTTTAAAGAATATTGCTTAGAGATTTACCAAGATCTATTATAATATGCAAAGTGTATTTATATATACTAGCCAAATACCTGTTCTACAAACAGAGAAAAGTTGTCACTGAAGTTCTCTTCCTTCTCTAACATTTCTGAATAAACATTTTCAACAAGACATCTATTTTTTAAATTTTTTTTCTTGCCATTATGCTAATTCCACTTCAATTCTCTACTCTGGACATTGCTGCATAGAGCTGACCAGGAGAGAAATATTTTAATAATTTTCTAATGTTTATATTATTATTTTTATTATTATTATTATTACAATCATCATTCATCATCCTTTGTTGCATAATCCAATACATCGATGCATGCACAACTCTTATTCAATGAGTTGTTTTTGTTTAAACATTTTGATTGAAACCTAAGAAAGATCTTTCTTAAAGTATTTTTCTTGGTTTTGAATTCTGAGTTGTCCTACTCCTAGACCGTTTGGGAATAATGGTAAGAGAGAGTAGTTTGCCTTGATATTTAACCTGTAACTGGGGGAGAAAGGATAGAGTTATTTTGTAGTAATGCAAAAAATTAGATAACAACAATACTTATTATGAACACAGGTGATCTAACTTAGCATTTTGAGAAGGCAGATATAAATTTGTTTTATACAAACATGATGAATTAAAAACTTTACTAACAGAAATATTGCTTATATATGGTCATTTTAGAATTTTAATTGAAAATAAATAACACAAATGAAATATTATTAAAATATACATTTAAAATTGTTATGCAAATTAAACATTACTGCTTATGAAACACCATTTGTTTTATATATATATATATATATATATATATATATATACATACACTAGCAGTAAAGCCCAGCATTGGCCAGAAGTAAACTTCCTCTGAATGGAAGGTCATACCACCATACTCATTTTGTACACACATGTAAGGCTGATGTCTAGTAGAACTGATGGCTGCCCACATAAAAAACGTAATGTACACAAGTTGTCGGTATTCATCAGTACAATGGAAGAAAAAAATTGTAAGGCTTAAAAGGAAGCAATGGACAGCCATGGTAGCATCAGCCGTTTGCCATTACTAAGACACCTCCAATTAAAAGTTGTCAAGTTCAATATGTTTTTTGCTGAGTTGTGGTAGATTGCTTTGTATTTCGATGGGATGGTTTTATTATCCCTGAGTGCAAGACATTACATGAAGCCCTGTGTCAGTTGCAACGTAGTAAAATGCAATAGCGTGAAAGGTAGATGCATCTTTTGCCCAAAAGACGGTGCTGCCACTACCGCAAACAGAACCACATAACAGAAGTATAGGAAGGTGCCAGAGCAAGTACTTGTAAGTGGTACAAATTTTTTTGTAATTTTTAATAGCCAGTTGAGGCGAGCATCAAGCGCACGTAGAATTACCTAAAGCAGCCCTTATGGTAAGGGGAGAAACACACCAATGGTGTATGGCAGAGAATGGATATTATAACTCTGCATGCTGCTATTCTTTTGTTATTCCACTTCTTTTTGCTGAGGCCTGAATTGCGTGGAGGCACTCAACTTCTCTGACAATTAAATGAATCCACCTTCCCACCAATTGGTTTTGTGTTGAAACTGAATATGGTTACGTGGTTGACATGCAAATGCAGCTATGGTAGGTTTTAAGTGATAAGGGAGCATCTGGTGAGCAAGACAACTTTTAATGAAATGTCTTAGTAATGGCAAGTGGATACTACGACGACCTTTAAATAAACCGGGTTCAAACATGAAGGAATCTACTATGCAGCTGATATAAAGATGCGTTTAAACATGACCGACCATGGGCTATAGGACTTCTGAGTAGGTAATATTTTTAGCTTTGTTTGTTGGAGAGTAATTGTAAACGTTATCCTTACTCCCGACTCAGGAACAGCCTACGTAAAGGCTGTCCATGGGCGAAGCACTGTTCACCTAAATGCAGACCCATGACACTGAGCGTCTGTCCTTGCGATTTGGCCATTGTTGTTGAGCTGTGCTTGCCATACTCCAGGGCTTTCTGAAGCTCTGGCAGACACAGTAGCGCTGACATTTCTTAAATGATGAATAGCAGTTTGTTGAGGCTGTTCTAAAACCCTAGAAGATGCTGTAGCCCTAGCATTCCTAAGATGATGCAAAGTGGTTTGTTCAGGGCTTTCTAAACCTCTAGAACATGCTGTAGTGCTGATATTCCTTAAACGCCGAAGGATTGTCTGTGTTGAGGACTCGCAAGCCCTGGCTCTAGAAAAACATATTGCGTCCTGTGAATTCTGTACTAAATGCTCTTCAGTTGAAAGTCTAGCGCATCGTGATGACATAACTGATGCTACTGATGCCAGCCTTTCAGTCTGTTTAGCGGTACTTTCCGTGGAGATGCGCGCAGTAAAATGTGAGGCCATCCGAGAAAGGTGCAACAAAGTTTGCTCTGTGGTTTCCCTTGCCCTTGCTGCTCTTGTAGCAGAGGCAGCAGCCATATGCTGTCCAAAAAGTTTTCTCTTAGGCAGCATTTTAACCAATTTTAAAAAGGCAAATGTAATAAAAGGTATGTAGGTTTTTTGAGTGCAAAAAACACATGTAGTCTAAATGTAGGCAAGTTAGAGGGATCCCAAAAATGTATGTAACTGTATCAAAAGGGGATCAAAAACAAAAAAAGCGAAATTTTAAAAATTCAACTAAAGCTAAAACAGTAGTAGTTAATTTGGGAAGTAAATTTGATAAACGCGGAAAAGGATGTAGTTATAACTAAGAAGTAAAAAAACAGTTTGGATACATAATCAACAACTTGCGGTTTCTGTAAGAAGCAAATGAAATGTGCCAAGTGCAGGACAGTAATCGCAGAAGAGTGAACACGCGTGCGAGTTATGGTATAAAGAGGCAGTTGACTGGTTGACCTTGAGCACACATACTAAGGTGATGTATGTACACGTGTGCGTAAAAGAACTGCTCGCACATATAATTGGATGGGCCCATGGTTAAATGCTTGCAACCGTGCCAATGAGCTCACAGCAACCTTGAACAGTTGACACAATTGGTTAACCTCCAGCAGGGTTAGTCAAAGCAATGCACAGTGGCGGATGACGTTTCAAAATAGTATCTGGTGACTTTATTGTATCGGGTTTTTTATTGATAAATATGAAAGCTATGTAGTTCCTTATCCCAAAATAGGTGCTGCCTTTTTGATTTACATTGTCACCAACGTAGCGCAGTCTCTCAAAGTCAGCCAATCAGAAAATGGGATTTTCAAGCTTCATTTTTCTTTGAAAATTTTGAGCAGCCAGGAGATATGAGGTAATTTTATTGATCAAAAGTTGAAAATACAAGCATTTTTACACTTCTTATGAACAAAATTTGAAGCAATGTTAATTTCATTTTTTGCTACATGTAAACAGCATGAAAAGACATAACAGTCCCCCGGTGTCCCCTTGAATGAAAAAATGCAATCAAATGTGAAAAATTGGCCAAATTGGACAATTGGGGGAAGCCGATTCTGTC